GAACTGGGAGCAGAGAAAAGATTATGTGACAGGAAGCAGAAGCAGCGAGGGTTTATGGGAAATGTAGTGCTGCAGTCTCACCTCGTCGTACATGAACTGCAGCGTGAGGGCAGACTTCCCCACTCCGCCGCTGCCCACCATGATCACCTTATGGAGGACCAGAGAGGTCTGGCTCTTGTTCTTGCCGGTGGCCATGACTCTGGTCTGTCTCAGTCCAGTGGTTCACAGCTCCGCCTGACTGCTGAAGACCAGCAGGGGCAAGCAGAGACCAGCAGGGACCAGCAGGGGCAAGCAGAGACCAGCAGGGGCAAGCAGAGACCAGCAGGGGCAAGCAGAGACCAGCAGGGACCAGCAGGGCAAGCAGAGAGCCAGCAGAGACCAGCAGGGGCAAGCAGAGACCAGCAGGGACCAGCAGAGACCAGCAGGGACCAGCAGGGGCAAGCAGAGACCAGCAGGGGCAAGCAGAGAGCCAGCAGAGACCAGCAGGGGCAAGCAGAGACCAGCAGGGGCAAGCAGAGACCAGCAGGGACCAGCAGGGGCAAGCAGAGACCAGCAGGAGCAGGCAGAGACCAGCAGGAGCAGGCAGAGACCAGCAGGAGCAGGCAGAGACCAGCAGGAGTAGAATTAGAGGAGAAATATGAATCGTGAATTGAGGACATGAACTTGGAAAACAGGTTTAAAAAAGTGTAATTTCTTTTCATCCAGATGGTTATAAGCACACCTCTGAAAGAGAGATAGGTACTGCTAAACTAGGTTATGTGTTTTTGAAAGCTCCTTAAAGACTTATCTTCCTGGTCTGTCACTCGAATGATTAAAAACAGAGCAGGGGGCCCACGGCACATTCACAGGTCCCAGATCGTTCGTGTTGCACCCCTGGGCCTACTGAAGCAGTGTTGAGTGGTCAGGTGAAGGGCCTTCTGATAAAAGAGCCACTGTAAATACACAGCAGCGAAGTAGGTGGAAAAAAAACCCCTCTTGTCAGTGACCTTTCCTGCCTGAAGGTCTCCAACATGAGGGTAACGTTACAACAGCAGCAGCAGTGGAGTAAAAATATGTCAGCTCCAGGACTAAAATGAGTAATAGTGGGAACTTTGAACAACCTCAGCTGTAAAAACAAATAAGAAGTATATGAACAATATGCCTGGCTGTGCTAAAAGCGGAACTATAAGTCATCCTGTCAACACACAACTTCAGCTTCCCCTCCGTGTTAACCAGCTGACAGCTGTAAACGACTTTCTGCAAGACACTGAGCAGCCACTTTAGCTCTTCCCGGCTCCCGCCTCCACACTCCTCAAAGCCGCCTCTGATTGGATGAGGCGCAAGTCGAACTCCTGTACGGCGGTTGCTATTGGCTGCTTGGAATGTCGCTCACCGCTCCGATAGCTAGCCAGAGAAGCAACGGCTGATAGCGCCTTGTTTCTTTCCCTCAGTGGAGACGCCATTAAAGAGCGGCGCTAAGCTAACTGAAACAACACGTAGGAAGGACACTATACACACCTGCTAACGTGTTTTTCGGTCGCTCGCTGAGGAATCCGCCATACACCGACACACACTGAACTTTTACAAGTTGACCAGGGGAGTCTCTGCCCCACCTTGTACCCGGACTCTGCCGAAGATCGTGTATAAACGGCAAGAGGAGTCACTCCGCGGCTAAACAAAGTGGCGGTAGCATAGCCGTTACCAAGGCGACGGTTTTAGAGATCGCCCGACATGTTGCTTAAAATCACACTTTACTCCAATTTCATGCGGACTAATACTTTTCACGTTACATTATTTATGTTAAGAGTCACATCAAATGTACGTATGTGGCTTTAAATGCGTCTTCTCGCTAATATTTGTTTTGGTAACTGTTAAAATACTGTATTGTTACGTCACAGGAAATTAGATTGGTCCTCCTCGCACAAAGGCAACAGCGATCTATCTACTTAAAAATAAATAAATAAAAAAGTAAAACCAATGAGCTAAAATATACTATACCCTTTAATAATAACAATAATAATAATAATAAAAATTATAATAAAAAATAAATGATTCATAAAAAAAAAAGAAACCCAAAGCTACAACAGTTATTGCAGCACCAGGCCAATTTAAAATACATTTCAAAAATATCTAAGAAAACAACAATAAATTAAAAACAGCCAATGTACAGACCTCACCCGGAAACAGCCACCGAGTGATACATCTTACTTTTACCCATCTTCTCAGGAGGAGGCAGATAACACTAACAGGATGTGATGTCACCGAATTCCTTCTATTCCTTATCAATTTATTTATTTAATTAAAATAGAATTTAAAAAATACTTTATTAAAGGTTTACAGAAACCCGTTTGGTGCAGTAGTGTGTATGCTACAGTGTTTTATTTATATAGTATAATAATAATAATAATTTAAAAAATTATCTTTATTTATAAATATATCTTTTTTAGTGCAAAGACAATAAAACACATATAAAAAAGATAAAAAGATACACGATAAAAGCAAGTAAACACTTAAGAAGTTAAATGACAGTTAAATGAAAAATATAAATAAATTCAACTAAATGTTCAGGAAGTAGGCTAAATAAACACAAACAGTCTGTTGATAATTAATAAACAGCGGTGAACAAAGTATTCAAAAGTTCTAATACCACACTTAAAAAATACTCTGTTTCAAGTAAAAGTCCTGCATTGATATGTCACCTGAGTAAAAGCATGTAAACAGTATTAAGTACAAGTATTAAAAGTATAAGGACGAGGCAGATAACATTAACAGGATATGATGTCACCGAATTCCTTCTATTCCTTATCAAATTATGAAACATTACAAGCTAAATGTTAACATAAGTAGACGCTTTACAATTACAACGACAAGTTTCTTATTTTTGTTTATGCAAATGAGGTACCTCCTCAGTAAATATGCGCTGACTTGCATTTCACTACTGCCTCTGACCCCATGTCATGACAACAGCCAACATTTCTTCAAAGAACAGTTCATTTACTTCTCAGTTTTTTACATTTTGCCTGAATAAATCAGATTATGTTGCCTTAGTGTTTCTCCCTTTGTAGCTGTTACTTTATTTCAGAAGAGGGTGAAACATATATTCTCTGAACTTACTGAACACTGAGTTGCACCAGTGTTATCTGCAGCTGCAGCTTCATGTAGTTCTAGTATTTGGAACAAAGATGGCGCTGTTTCATCACTGGTGATCAAACAGGCTGGAGATCAACGTCTGATCTCCTTTAACTCAAACCCAGAGATGTGAAGAGGTAAAACTACACGTAACCACCCTGAATCACCTCTAAGTTGATTTAAAGTTTGAGAAAATCTGTTCAGTCTTATCACATTCACCCCAATTTAAGATTGTCCAATAATTTAGCAGGAAACTTTTTAGATTTGGACAAAACAGCATGTGTTGTGAATCGATTACGTCAGAATAAGTTGAATCGAAGTGATTATATATAAAAAAAAACAGGGTCATGTGAGGGGAAGAAACACACCTGACATGTTGCTTTGCCTTACGATAATCACCAGCTGAAAGGTCAAAGGTCACCTCAGGTCTTTGACTAGAGAGGCTGCTGCTGCTGGATGTCTCGTGTCATGACGAGCTCATTTGGTTTGGAGTTTTTACTAACAAATGTTGTTGTCGCCGTCATGTAAACTCAAACTGGAGACACTCATTAGTCCGGGCTGTTGCGGATTGTGTTCAATTTGACTGAGGGGCTCAGGTTATTTGCATATTTGGGTGTTTGGGAGGTTTATAAGTATCTAAATCACTACAGTGGTTGTAATTAGTCATCAAAATCAACACTGGGAGTAGAAAGTAACACTGACTGACTTTTATTGGTATCTTATCCATTCATTAAAGGGTTGTCTTTAAATTTCTCGAGGTAAAAATAATGGTCGGCATATTTTGGCCACGTCTTGACATACAAACGTCAGACTAACTGTAGAAATTCAATATGTAATCTCCTCACTTTAATCAGGCACAAGAACAAAACTTAACAAAAGTCCCTTTAAAAATGTACAGTTTTTAAGAACGCTTGACGTTATAAAAACACAGAAAAATGCTTTAAAAAGTCATAAATCTCTTGTCTAAAAGTAAAAATATGCAATAAATACACACAAAAAACTGGCATTGGAAGAGAATAAAAAAGGGTTTTAGCCTGTTTGTATTAAGGGGTATTAAGAGTAGGGATATGTAGTTTTATATGTGTAGAGTTTAAACCAAACTTCACACATTTTTGTGCTTATTATAGGAAGGAAGCAAAATCTATAAGATCTGTCTGACGGTTTTATGTTGAGCCATTGATTTTAAAAAGAAGAGTACTGCAGCTGCACCTGTGAAGTACTTGTACTTAACTTACATTTCAGATTGAATATTATACTTTTAACTACATTTATCTGACAACTATCATTACTTTGCATATTTAGGCCTATATATCACACACAAAACAAACAAATAATTAACTGAGGCCTTGGTACAGATTAAACTACCCAAATTTACGTAAATCCAAATGCTTCTCACGTGTTCTGCTTGTATTTGAGTATTTTCCTGATACTGTTTTGTACTTCTACTTAAGTAACACGTTGAATGCAGGACTTGTGAGTGTTTCAACATTGTTGTACTGCTACTTTTGAACAGGAGGGGATTATTTTAAATGTATTGTGCGACTGCAGAACTGCTGCCATGTGTTCTACCCTACTCTCTTTTTCTTCAGGATATTGCAGTGGTATTCTGAATAAACTGCAGTTTTTGGTGGTAGGATGCACTTTGCATTTATGGGGTTTTCTATCTGCCATGAGTCACTTCAGCAGGCATGTGCGGTGCAATATGAATCCCTTCAGGAATAATTCAGTGATTTCTCCTCAGGGAGTATTATTAACCCCCCCCCCCCCCCCTCTCTCTCTCTCTCCCTCTCCCCCTCTCTCCTCATTGGCTCCGCCCACCTGATTTTGACCCCCGCTTGTATATAAAAAAGTTTTCGGTGTGTGGCTGCTCCCGAGTCTCAGACGCCAGAATGGAAACGCTCCTCTGTGCGCTCACTGGCACACCTCCCTCTCCTCCTCCCCATCGTCTTCTTCTTAATTGCGCATCGGCACTCCGGCAGCACCGCACTGGGAGTCACGAGCAAAAGCGTTTGAAATATATGTAGAGAATAAAACAAAGTGAGGGTGGTGATGAGCTTTCTGAGTCTGTGGAACAAGAACATGATGGACTGAACTTTAAACATGTTCCAAGCGGGATTTGCATTCAGTTGTTCTCGGTTGGTGGAATATGTTAAAGGTGGACTTCCAGCTGGGCAGATGCTGATTAATGAAACCATGACACGTTTTCTTCCGCTGCTGCTGACAGAGGTGATGCTTTTTGTGTGAAACTGCTCCAACGCAGAGAGCCCCTAAATCCGGAATAAACAGGACTGCTTCCCGTTTCTGACAGACTGCCGAGGATGACCAAAGACATTCAAATAATGATGTAATAAATAGATTTCCTGCACACGCATCTTCGAGTGAATGGACACAAATTGCACCGACTGGCATCCAAGTGCGTCAGACCTGAGCGGACAGCCGTTACGCATGGAGACAGCTCGGGACTGAGAGGATTTTTGTTTCGCTTGTTCACATTTTTTATGATTTTAACTGACAAAAGAGGGACAAAGTTATTCTACTCCTCCTCGAACAGAAAATGAGTAGCTGTCTCTTTCGACTAGCACTCTTCCTGGCTTGCGTCCTCTCCATCAGCTGCACCGCTGCGCCCGGGACCGAGGCGGAGGCGCACACGGCGTCCAGGAATACCTGCGCGTCCTGCGGCGTCGCTCAGCCGGAGGACCCCGAGTCGGGCCGGCTGAACGTGGACTTCCTGGAGGCGGTGAAGAGGCACATCCTGAGCCGGCTGCAGATGCGGGAGAGGCCCAACATCACGCACCCGGTCTCGAAGGCGTCCATGGTGACGGCGCTGCGGAAGCTCCACGCCGGGAAGCTGCGGGAGGACGGGAGGGTGGAGATCCCCAACCTGGACGGACATCCGATGAGCAACGACGTGCTGGAGGAGAGCTCGGAGATCATCAGCTTTGCGGAGAAAGGTGCGTGATGGAGACTGATGCAAATGTTGGGGCTTAAATTTAAGTTTTTCTGAAGGGCAGTCATAAAAATCTGACTTCTTTTAACGAGGGAATTCCACCTGATTTCAATGAAATCATACATTTTCACAAATTTTCTTAAAAACAACCCACAAAAAGCAAAGAAAGTCTCGATTAGTGTCGATTTATTCTACAAAATTACGTTAAATTTTCATTTAATATTCTGAAATCCTAGACTTTTGCTTCTGTTTTTTTTTTTTTTTTATTAAAATGCAGGACTCGGTTCAAGGTGAAATGCTTTGTCTGTGGAACAAGCCAAAGCATCCAGGGGGAGCAGAGCTGATAGGATCTGAACTAGAAACAAATCTAAAGGTTTTTCCAAACTGGAAACGTGGCATCGATTTATGAATGAAAAACTTAAATTTAACACGTCTGGTCTGACTGATTTAACAGGCTGTGAGTTTGATGTGGCTTCATGGCACTCGGCTGAAGGTTTAACGGACTCTGCAGGCTCATAAAAAGACGCAGGACACTTGTTGTACTCGTGAAATTTAAAACCTGACATGATATTTGATGCATGTAGCTGACGAATCGGGTGCTGCTCAGGGACACACACCGGCCAGCTCCGCTCTGTGTGTCTTTATATACTGACTGAATGAGAGAAAGCCCAGGGAACATGCGGATGTTGAACAGATGTGGATACAGGGGCCAGAATAAAAGCAGAGACGGTGCATAGCTGATCCCTGCGTCTTTTTTGCTCCAGATGTATTAATATTATTTTTACGCTCCAGCTGTTGGAGCTTTGTCTTTCTTTGCACGCGGTCAATTAAATGCATCCTGGTCTGTCATTAGTTGCCTCTGTTGCCCCCCCTAAGTAAGGCAAATCTCCAGTAGCCAGTGCTGATGTAGGCTACTATAAAGTCTTGTTTGGTTTGTCTTGTGAGGCAGCTGTGTGGAGAGTTTAGACTGACTATCTTTCACACACAAAAGATAAATTAAAGCTTGTGATTTTCTGTCATCGTCTAGAAAGATTGATAAGAAATGAGAACATTTTGAATGTAGTTTGATGGATGGAGAACTGAAGCACGAGCTGATTAGATTTTGGGGGTTTCTTTCATTATTACGATTTGGATTTTTAAGCATGGCTGCGTTCATGCACTCAAGAGAAAGTAGGACATCTGGGACTTCTGGCTTCTACCCCAGTGTTGTGTTCACTTTCCAAGAAAACCCAACCACACACAAACATGAACTTGGGCAGCTTTGCTCGGTGTCGGCGGAGGTTTGCTCCCCGCCGAGAGCCTTTTAGTTTCAGATGTTTCTCTCTGTGGCCGCTGTGTTGCAGACCTTCCACCTCGGCGCCGTCCGCTTGCCAGTTGGCTGCTTTACCGGCACTGAGCGGCTGTCAGCGGGGACATGGCACGGCGACAAGGCTCTGAGGAACAATTTACTCAGGGCCGGCTGAAAGGAGCAGGCTGAAAATGATCAACGACACCACCTGCTTCGCCCACGTGTGTCCGTCCGCTCGCCTCTGAAAGCGACGGCGCTCCGTGGAAACATCTGCTTTCCACATCAACAAATCGCTGCTTCGCGTCGGCACTCAGCTCTTATTCTGAACCTGTGTGTGTTCATTATGTCTTGTGCCTGAGTGTTATTTATCCCTGCTTGTGTTTGATTTGATCTTTTATGCCTCTGTCACGTCTGTATGTGAGTCTCTCTGTGTGTGTTATTGATGTGTGTGTCTGCGTTGGCGTATACATGCGTGTACATCCAGGATAGTGTGTGTTTATGTGTGTGTGTGTGACATGGCAGGGTTGTGTTGAATCAGTCCCCTCAGTATAAGGTCAGAGCTTTTGTGGCGGCCGTCGTGCAGCCTGAATGCAGATTGACGGGCTGAACCCTGCAGCCTGGCACCCCATTTAAATTCACAGTGTGTGTGTGTGTGTGTGTGTGTGTGTGTGTGTTTGTGTGAGATCTAACTGCAGGCTCTATATGAAAACACACTGTGACTAAAGGGCATGGTGGTGATGTTAGTTTGCTGCATCATCACAGTGTTTTGCTCAGTTTGTAGTCTGGAGGGCTTACTTTTCATGAATGCAACGTTTGGGGAAATCAGTAAAAATCAAGACTTGGGTTTGCTAATTTTTAAGTGGTCTGTGGAGCTTTTGATCACATATCATGATCTTCATCAGCAGATGGAGTTCCTCCATTTGTCATGGAAGCCTATTTTCAAATGTCCCTTTATTTTTCAGAGCGCCTTTAAAAAACTCTCATTCTTGTCGGCTTAAAAGTTGAGGATGAAACTGGGCAAACTCCCTCTGCTGATGAGGAAGATCATGTAAAATGATAAAAAGTTCCACAACAGCCACTGACAGGACCTTCATAACTGTTTGTCAGCTGAGGTTTAAGTAGTCGAGAAGTAACTTTTCTAACAGAATTTAGACTAAAATGTGTAAAACCTTTTAATAATTTTAAATAAACAATGTAACATAAATGCAAAATCTAGAAAAGTCAAGTCATGTCAGTCTAAATTATATCAACCCAAATCACACATTTGCCTTAGGGGACTTTACCACATACTTTTTATGACATGTGACAGAATCTAATTTCCAGTTTCTAGATTTCACTCCAAATCTTGTGCAAAAAGTGATCTGCAAAATTTCAAAGCCATCTTTTTGTACTCAATGTGGAAGAAACTGAGCTGTTAGCATTTAGCATTTATCACTCGAAGCACAATATGCAGGTTTAGGGGCTGTGACCACGATTTTAGAAATACTGAGGTCATGAATCAAAGTTCCTCCAACAACCCAGTCCGCCAGAAAGTCTCTATTTATTGAGTTAGTTGTTAAAACCATTATATTTTCTCCAAGCATTATTTAAATGAAGCAATTCTTCTGCAGATCAGCAAATACCAACTGAACTCTCACAGTTTCTATTTTTCCAACAGTTATTACCAGGTTACATGGTTCTTTTCAGGAAATATTGGCAAATTGCAAAGATTTAAAATGAAGCATTATTCCTACTTTTCTCACCACAGCACAAATACAACTGTATGAGAAACACTGAATCTTTTATTTTATTATTTTACATGTGTCAAAAATACCCAGCATGCATTGATTTTCAATTATAGGATGTGAACTTCCCCCAAAGTTGCCGAAATCTTCTTTAAAATATTCTTGGAAGGAACTCGTGTCTTACCAGCTACAGCATTTAGTGCCAGTCGTTTAACCACTTCACTTCCCCATGTCATGTCACTGATTTCTCGAGAACTACATCTTGGCAAAGTCAGCGTTTTTGTAACCACAGATATCCAATGAACATTCATGCAGAAAATATATCATGTGTGCCAAGTGTGTCTGGTTCAAAAGTTTATTTTAGCCTAAATGTAGGTTTTTACTATATTAGCAAAGTTTTAGGAAGCCACAGTTAAAGTAACTCGCATGTTACACAATTGCATCCTTGCTGCAACACAGTGCAGTTTATTTATCTGTCTGTTATTCCTCACTAAACATTTGCGGCTGTGACCAGAAAGAAATCAAGAACTAAATATTTGCCTGATGTTCCATCAAGCCAGTTAGAACAGCTGCTGTCTCTCTTTGTCAATGCACGACGAATTATATTGTTGTAGCAATATGTTTTCACACTTTTTGACCGCTTAATATAAATGACAGCTTTGCTTTGATACCAGAAAAGGTTTTCTGCAGAGCCATTGGATGTTAAAAAACCATAGTTGGTTGCCTTCCTTGACTCGACCCCATTTATTTCGTCTGGGAGTTCATGTGAGGAATCCACCACGTCTTCATCAGCAGCTCAGACAATGCAGCTGGCCGTCTGTGACAAATGAATTCTCCCTCAGACATCAGTTAACCATCCTCCTCCATCACACTGTAAAGCGGCCACTCCCCAACAGCCGCCAACACATTCAGGGAACTTACACAGACTCCTCCAGCTGAGCATTGTTTATATCATTACAGGCATTTGAGATGTCGCTTTGATTCCTATAGTTAAGAATAAGAGAGCAAGTCACGGTTTCAGCAGGTTCATGGAATATGTGTTGACAGATGAACAGGTACCACCTGTGAAATCTGCACCTGCAGCTCAGCTTTGTTTTTATTTTCCAGGCACTTGATGTTATCGTTCTTGATTTTTATCCTGCCTGGGTGACAGCGGGGCTCTAATCTCGCAGGCCCGTTGCGCAGCAGAGTGTGATCTAGCATCCGAGCTGTTGAGTAATGACTCAGAGATTACCTCCTCTCGTGATGGATGAGGTAACGCATGTGGAGGCTCGCTAAAAAGCACAGCGCTAGCTTTGATGATCGCCAAAGAAAGTCTGCTCCCTCTAAAACTTTTAATAATCTTTGATATTTTTGTAAATGTCTGTTATGTAACACAGTACTGATGCAACCTGCAGCCAATTCATGAAAGCTTTTACGATGTGCGGTTTGGTCTTTTCCTGGTAAAAACCATGAAGTCTCAAGTTCATCCGCTGGACTCTGTGTCCTTTACGCTCTGATTTCCCACTAACTGTCAATCTCAATTTCTCTCAGTCGGCGCTGATGATTGACTCTAATTTTTCTTCACCTGACAGCTGTCAATCAGCTTTTCTGTGTGTTTGTCTTGCAGCTCTGTAGCACTCGTGTTTACAAAAGCAGAAAGTGAACTATTTAAAATAAAATCAAAGCTAGAGGGACCAGGTTTGATCCAAATAACAGCCACTGAACCATCTGTAGCATCTCAAGATAAAGTACCTAAAATGTAAAAAACTGTGGATTAAGGAGGCCGTTTGCTTTTAGTCCTGAGTGTGGCGAGTCACTACACCATCAATTACCCAGTACTCTCAAGATATTTACATGTCTCCGTTCAAGATCAAAACTTGGTCCTGCCTTAATGGGAGCACTGGCTTGCAGAAAGGCACACAATCAAACCCACAAGCCCAATAAATGAATAGCAAATACATACAGAGCACAAAAACAATATTTTCTTTTGCTGCAGTTTATGGAACTCATTAGTTGTGGGAAAAGGAAACAGGAGGGGGAAAATCTGTACAAACGAATCTCTGACTTTATTGAGACTGAAAGCTGAATTTCAGATTCCCTCCAAACCTTTTAATCATTCCACAAATGAGCTGATGGTGCCCAAATAAAAAGCCTCTGACCATTTGCAGTCTGCTGCAGGAGCGGCCACGGTTTCTGAGAACCAGCTAATGTGATGTAAATGGTTTTTTCTTGCATCTTCATTCTTCCAGTTTGTTGCTGCATCTCCCACGCTGCCTGGCCCTGCGACGCGCTCTCAGGCCTCATTGTGCGGACAGTTAGGCTCCATAAGATCTCATTTTCAGGCAGCATTCAACGCAAAGCCTTTGAATCTTTGTGTGCCGCTCTCTTAAGCTCCCTCCCCCCCATATTTGGGCCGATTTGGAGGCCAAGTGGCCCTGCGCCCAACGCCTTCCTGTCACAGTCCGCAGGATCTGCGCTGCCACCCTGAACTGAGGGGAGGCCTGGGCTTGTTGTCTTACTTTAAGTTGTTCCCACGTCACGTTTTCCTCCAGTCCTTACAGATGTTCAGTTTTTTTGCTGTTTTCTCAAAGTCTTCACAAGTGGATTGATCTCAAAAGTCAGTTAAGTAATACATGGCATAGACTCTGGTTCACAGATTTCTGTAGTGTTACTTTATTAATAATCAAATGCTCTGATGTGTTTTTTTGTTCCTCAGATGATATGGTGACATCCAAGTCCAGCCTCTTCTTCCAGATCTCCAGTGAGGGGAACCAGAACCTGCACGTGACGCAGGCCACCCTCTGGCTCTACTTCAAGCTTCTGCCGTCTCCTCTGGAGGTGCGTCCAAGGCGGAAAGTGACGGTGAAGGTATACTACCAGGAGCCCGGCCTCAGCAGCAAGTGGAACCTGGTGGAGAAACGGGTTGACCTGAAGCGCAGTGGCTGGCACACCTTCATGCTGACCGACGCCGTCCGGTTGGTGTTTGAGAAGGGCGACCGGCGCCAGAACCTGGATGTGCGTTGCGAGGGCTGCGAGGCAGACGGCGTGGTGCCCATCCTGCTCAACCACAACGATGACTCCCACCGGCCCTTCCTGGTGGTGCAGGCGCAGCAGGTTGACAACAAACACCGGATCCGCAAGAGGGGGCTGGAGTGTGACGGTAGCAGCAACCTGTGCTGCCGCCAGCAGTTCTACATAGACTTCCGGCTCATCGGCTGGAACGACTGGATCATCGCGCCGTCTGGCTACTTTGGGAACTACTGCGAGGGGAACTGTCCAGCCTACATGGCAGGCGTCCCCGGTTCAGCCTCCTCCTTCCACACAGCGGTGGTGAACCAGTACCGCATGCGAGGGATGAGCCCGGGCTCCATGAACTCGTGCTGCATTCCCACCAAGCTTAGCACCATGTCCATGCTCTACTTCGATGACGAGTACAACATCGTCAAGCGGGACGTTCCCAACATGATCGTGGAGGAGTGTGGCTGTGCTTGAGTACGTTTTGTTGTTGTTTATTTAAAGTGGAACTGAAAACTGTAAACAGATTCACAAGATTACAACAAGAAAATGAATATAGAAACAGAATATTTATGGACGATGGAGAAAACATGCGCTCGCGCAACCTCATCCACACATATCTACACACTCTCATGTATGCCTGCACAAAAACTTGTATATATATTTATGTTTGTTGATATATTTCATTATATTCTCTAGTAGAAGACTGTTTCTGTCTAGAAATGATTCAGTCTCCTTCAAAGCGACATGAAGAGTTCTCTTCCAAATCTTTAAATATCCACTTTGGAAAACAATCAATCCCTTCAGTTCTTCATTAAATATCTCTAAGATAGGCGGGGATCTGGTTTGCTAAAGTGTTCAAGACTTATGTAACCTACTAGCCTTTACTGTCACTGACTTTTCAGTCACGTTGTTAGAGTAGTTACCACTTGTTTAGAAGTGAGTGTCTTGTTTTGGAATTAAACTCTTCATGTGTAGAACATAAACCCAACCTTGAACGTGAAAACAAATCGCCTTCCAAGGAGGTGTGGGGAGCCTTACACGAGTCAGAAGGTTGTGGTGATTCAACTATGCCTCTTTTTAGAGCAGTGTGCACAAACACGTGGGACAAGCACTGAAAATGTTAATACACCTGTCAAACTTCATCAACGCACAGCACTTCTGGCCAGGACTCACATTTACACTACGTCTTAGAGAAACTTTGTTCCCGGGATGAAACCCGCTTCAAGATGCTATGAACATTTGGACGCATTCCAGAAACGGATGGAAACAGACATTATCAACATTATCTGTAGAGACTTTTCAGCAAGGTTTCTGTTACACTGGCGCTGTCACCAAACCGCAAAATAACCCTTGAAGGTAACAACTAAAAGGTAGACTTGCCAATATGAGGTGGCGCACCTGAGAATTTTAAAACTGTTTTGAAGTTGTGTTTCTGATCTGCATCTCTTCACAGCTCTGGATTATTCTCTTTCCATTATCTTCATTCTCGGTACTGCTTTTTTAACTGTTATCTACCCTAAACCCAACCCTAACTTGGGTGGTTGTTTCTCTGTCCCTCTCCTCAAATTACAAATCTATTTCTCAAATTACTAATTTGTGCGCCCAATTTTTCTTATTTATTTCCCTAAATTTAGGAATTTGCAACTTCAAATTACTTGATTCTTTCCCTTGAAACAACATCTTCCCTCAGATTACAAAATTGTGCACCAAAGTAATCAGTTCCATCAAATTAATATCTTTAAGTTCAGACACTCACTATGAACCACAGTAAGATTTTGATTTTGGACTGTGAGACACAAATCATGTCCAGCTCTGCTCAGTCCCAAACAAAATCTGATGTACCATCCAAACTTTAAATAATTCTACCAAGTAAACTTATTTCGTGGTTTTGAAATAACCACTTCCCCTTGGTCTTTGTATCATTAAAGTAAAAACAGTTTTCCAAGGATGTTTTCTTCTACTCTTGGTATGGGTTTAACAAGTACTCTATTGTAGCATATGAAGATGGTGGAATGGAAATCAGGAATAACCTCGCGTTTATCCATTTTTGTTAATGTTTGGATATTGCAAGCAAAACCTCCCTTCAACTTCTCCTCGAACGGGAAGGTTCGATTCCTTCCAGTTGTTCAAATCAAAAAAAGGTTTAACGTATCTCTCATTTCAGTCAGTGAAAGTGAAAAGTTGCCATATTGCTTAGTTTAGTGATGGTGCTGCTCTGCACTTCACACTTTGATAGCACTTGCAGATAGAAATGCCTTTAAAGAGCCCTATGAGGCGCATCGTTGCCCACAGTCCTTCTAAAAGAAATAAGTGCCGCATGAGCTATGCAATGTATAGTATTTACCCATATTCCAGACAGGCTGATCTTAAGCTCTTCTGACAAACTATCACCAATACTTGAAACGTAATGTGTGGCAAGCAGGGGCAGGATGGGTTTTGGCTAGGAGGCATGAGGAGACAGACAACTAAATGCTGTCCTGTGTGTGTGTTTCTGGTAGTAGATAATGAAGTATTGTACTTGATAGCTCCACTCAAAATGAATTAAAAATCAATGTTTGAGAAACCCAGCAAGTCATCTGACAATCGTTACAACTGTTGAAAACAGCTCTGAAATCCTCTCCGATCAGCTGGAAGGAAAATTCAACCCTGTCTCTTGAAAGTTATGTTTATATTCTACTAAATGGTTTTGGTAAATATATTCTAAAGGGAATGGAATTGCTGCCTGGATCCAGTCCATGTAGCACTACGCTCAAACTATTATGTTGATATGAATCATTATCCGGGTCGCATTACATTTCTTTCTAAACTTGTGTATAAATCAAATTAGTTGGCGACAGGGTTAGAAAAGTATTGCGTCTGCTGCGTGATAAAGCTGATGTTTATGCATTTGAAAACTGTATTGTTCAAAACAAACGAAGATGGCAGCTGGAAGTGACACATCTCTCTGTCCATTCTGTATAGCGTTTAGGGGTGTGACGAGACACACGAGATTCGAGACTGGGTTCACAAGATCGAGATGAGATTTTAACAATATTTTTAAGAAATCTTTAATGCTGAATTAGATGAAACAATTTAATTCCTGCATTCTGATGAATTTTTCCAGTTTATGGTGATTTTTTATTTTATTTACATAAAGAGAAACACAAAATTCAGGTGGCAGGTGACCATTCAAAATTCATTTATTCATAATATATATATGTCATTCTGTGCTGCTTTCCACATGTAACATCATCCCTGCTGAGTCATGATTTAGCCTTCCCTCCTCTTTGTCTTTGTTTGGGGAAGTAACCTCTTCAAATGTGCCACCTTTTCACCTCAATGAGAAATTATTAAATTTTTATAAACTGCTGGACTTCAATAGCTCCTGTGTTTCAGCAGCTTTTCTGCTCATGTTCAAAACTTTCTGCACGTTCAGAATCTCCCACAGAGATCATTTGATGAGAGGTCTACCTGCCCTTTACTCTGCTGTGCATTACGTTATTGATCTGCTGGAAGTAACGTTATCCCCTTCAAACCGTTTGACTGACGCAGTTTGGGACTGCATGTGAAACCGAAAGCAACAGAAAGACTTGTGATCAGGCAGAAATCTCACCACAAATCCGCACACGTTAACTTCAGCTGCTCTGATAAAGTGCAGCTCACAGTCCCAAACAGAGCAGGCTGCGCTTCATTTTTTAGATGTTTATGTTGCAAAACTCTACCAGCTATGTTACCACTCGTCACGGCTGTCTGCGGTTGATTGCGATCAGGGCGTCCGCCGGTGTGGCATCAGCTGAGTTGATTATCTCTGCGAGTCTGTCTTATCAGTTATACATTTGTATTTCACTATGTGAGAAGATAAATGTGTGGCTTTACTTACAGCATGAAAAATGTCAATTGCGTGAGTCTGGCGAGACAGCTTTTTACCTGACGAGATATCTCGTCACAATTTAATCTCGCGAGATCTCGTCACACCCATAAAAGCATTCCAAAAATATCTTTGCTACACAAAATCATTTTAATCTTCTGAGCTTTTTCTTAATATTTACTAGATAATGGTACCTCTTTACTCCTAAAAACATTATTCAAACAAAACCAAGGCTTATAAAACCTATGACAAGTGCTCGCAAGTAGACCTTTATTTGTTTTAGGGGATCAAAAGCTTTTAATGTATTTTATTTTTTCTTATTCGTACAAGACAAGAAGGTGATTTGTCACTTTCAGCTGTCATCTGGCTGGATGGACGAGTTTTTAAAGATTCAGTCAGTGTTATTGAATAATCTGTTTTTTTTTCTCAAAGTTTCCTTTTTAATCATCAAGTTAAACCTCTGAAATATAAAAGGAGGCTAAATGGGGCTAACATTGACCCAAATGTGATGCATGAATAGTGATTGTGGTGTCTTAATGAATGTGTCCCCGTGGAGTTCCCATCATGGCCTGTTCGGCACCGAAACACACTTTGAGACACAGTTTCAGGCCTCAGTCACTTTTACATCACTTTGACATTTTCAGGTTAAACGTTTCCGCGACCTGCTATTTTACTAGTCCACTATCTCACCTCTTCCCGCCTTCTGCCCGACGCTCGACCACGACTTTGCCTGCCACTGTAATATTTCGCTTGTTCTTCAAAGCGAATGGTTGTTAGAATATTTGCACTGAGGAGCTGCGTAACTAGTTATAAGAAAAATGAAATAAATAGAAACTGCCATTGAAAAAAATAGTTATTTTTATAGAAGCAAAATTGAGCTCTGTTCAAATGTATTATACCTAATCATGGAACCAAAGAGGCCAAGAGGTTTAGCTATTGAAAGACGGCAACGCCGCCACGTTTTTGTAGTTGTAAATGACTTTGTGACAGTTAAAAGAGGCCTAAACACTGTATCAGGGTATAATATCAGTCCATAATCAGCTTAATCTCTTTTCTATTTTGTACCTAGACATGGAATATTTCATATTTTTTCATCAAATTACTTAAATATTCCTAGTTTTCTTTTCTTTCTTTGTTAGCTCTCGTTACAGAATCATTTAGAGTAAAGCACACGTCATCTGATCCCTGTACAGTCGATGTAACATATGAATATGCTTTTGAAATATATTGTTCTTTGTAATTGTTGAAAAATAAATTTCTTATTCACAATTGTATGGATTTGTTGTTGTCGTGGTATTTACATTTACCTTTTATCCAAAGCGACATACAATTGCTATATATGTCAGAGGTGGCACGCCTCTGGAGCAACGAGAGGTTAAGTGTCTCGCTCAGGGACACATGGGTGGACGGGTCGCAGTGGGGAATTGAACCCGGGTCAGTCACAACAAAAGCATGTGTCTCATCTATTGCGCCATCACCACTAATGAGGGATGAGAGTTGAGAGCAGTTCCTGGAGTTAAATGTCCAAAGTAAGTCAGAAATAAGACACTAATGTTGAAACTGAAAAGTCGTATGAGTTGGAGTCTGTTACAACACACTGAAGGGGTAACTTTTGCAAAGATCGCATCAAACATAGCGAGCAAACAGCCAGCTGTTGTTGTTCTTTCTCTTCACCTGAAAAATCCACAATTACCTTGTGCGGCTGATACTGGTGGTTTTTCTGCCATGTTTGCCCGCATGTGTTGACACCTTTTGTCATTTCATGATACCCAGGGGAAACGCTGAAGCGCACAAAAATCCCCTACTTGTAATTATCAGCAGAGAAGCTGTCGTCAGACGTGTTTTTCCCACTTGTTTGCTAATCGTCTCGTGTCAGATTTGATATACAGTTTAACATTATGGTGTCATCATCTCCACACACAGAGGCCCTAGTTGAGACTCCATCCATCCATTTGTCAACTGCTTATCCTGTGTACGGGGTCGCGGGGTAGTCGAGACTCTACTTTGTTAACATTTTAACCAACTTTAGTGTAAGAGGGCATTCCCAGATACTTAGAGTTACATATCAATCTACAATGAAGCAAGCTATATAATCTAAAATAGCCATGATGACAAAATTGGTGATTTAATGCAGGTTCAATGGAAACTGGATGATATTTAGGATTTAGTTTACGGAACAATTTGCTTTATTTGACTTAAAAGATTGATTTAAATACATTTTACAGATTATTAAAGTTATTTACTTTAAATTTGTTGTTACTAAGTTATTTACCAACATGGACAAGTGCTTATACAATAGTTAAATTTAAGGAATATATGTTTGACTCTTCATTGTGTAAGAATATGGTGTCTTTTACGATTTTAGCACATCTACAGTTGAGAGTGTAACTCTCTGCTGTCGTAAATAAGGACAGTTGTACATGTGCATTTGTTGTGATTACATTATTTACGATAAAAACAACTACCAAGTTGACAACTTTGCTAACAGCCAAACATCAAGCAACACAAGACTAATTCTACTGACTAGTTCACCAGAAAGAAGGCCAGCTCGCTGTCTGTCATGCAGCCTTTTCTCTTCTTGTTCTGTCAACATCCTCTTTGGTCTCTTTGCCTCTGCCATTAGCTAACGTTATGTCCGCAGAGGCCGCTGAGCCCGGTTGTGTTGCCCGGCTCCGGCTCTCTGGGTGGCAATCTAGCCAACAAAGCTAGACAGCAATCGACGCAAGAGCACTTACAGTAACGTTACCAAAGCTTGCTAACAACAATTCAAGATTTACAGGTAGAGGCTCAACCTCTGTCTGTGAAACCTGTATGTAAATAATAAAAAAGATGCTAGAATTGAACACCAGTCCAAGATAATGCAGTAAAAGACACTTCTCTTTGTAGGCAATTATTAAGTTTAAAGGTCCATTGTTGATTGGGTTGTAGGATAGAGTTTTTAATATAACATTATTTATCATAATGTATCGTAGTGTACTGGTTATTATGTTTGGGAAACCACCATTTTTATGGAAAGGATGACAAACAAGTTCATCAAAATGTGTTTATTGATAGATGATATACATGTATATAAATGCAGGAAACAGTTACGCCCTAGTGAAAATCAGTGTACATGCATCAGTGACTGGTGAAGTTCTTTCCTCAGGGCTGGGAGTAAGAACAGGCCATTCTGTAGAGCTCTATGTGTGCCCATTCAGGCATACAAAGGCTCTTAAAAGGCCTAATTATACCTAAGCAAATCTCGGCAGGACTTCAAGGGTCAAGTGTTTGACCTCTGGGGTCACACCCTTCCATGATTGGGAGGAGAGGCGCAATCGACTACAACCGGTGCAGCGTTAGCAATTAGCATTTAAGGAAACTCACAACTTGATTTAGGCTTTTTAGTCCTCAGCATGAATCTGTGAACATGTTCACATCATCGACAGCTAACAAGAAATCAGACTGAAAGGGAAATAAATGTCTGAATCACTCAGCGGTACACGACACCGCAATGCAGACATCCATCAAAAGTATAATTGCCCTTAATAAAATCCACTAAGTGTCCGCCTAAGTACACAGAAATGTTGTTGTTAAGTGGTGTGAAATGATATGTTTCAGAGAGAAAACAGTCGCCCCTTAATCTGACAGTTGATGAACGCATGAGTCAACTCTGACATTGTCTGCTGCTACTCAGGAATGAGGGAGAGAAACAGAGATGGAGACAAAACAAAGACAGAGAAA